ATAATGTAAACTCTACAATATTTATTGCTCTATAGGAAAATACAGTTACAAATTTATTTATTAAAAGAGCTAACTTATACGATAACAAAATATACACATAAATTTGGAAGTAGCTGTACACACAAAATTGAATAAGCTACAGAAGCTGCGGCGTTTTTTTATAGGAAATATTTCTTGTTTTTAACCAGACTCGCGAGGAGTATGTTTATACATAACTTCCACATTCGTTGGCTGTGTCTCGTCAGTTTATTTAGCAGTTTTATGAAATGCCAAATGGCCACTTTCAAACAATAAATTGCGCTAAGGTCATATCAAAATGGTAAGGCTATAGACTTTGTTTTCTTGGCATTACCCTACCTTTAGTATGTGCAGTACATAGTGTACCTACATGCTGCAACAACAAGTAAATTTTCGAGAACTGATAATACGTAAATTTATATAGGCCTATAGACTGTAGGCCTACTAAGGAAGAAACAGACAGCTTATTTTGGACGTAATTAAAATGAATAGAAAAATATGATTTTTTAAAATGCAATTTCCATTTTTCGTAGCACGGAAGCTGCGCTAACTGGACAAAAATAAAATTTTATTTATATTCTAAATCATCATTATTGGTATAAAAAATTACAAAATTATATTATTACAATATTATATATACAAAATTCGTCACTTACTGGTGGGAACGCAAAAAACAAACAGATACATATATAATTTTAAAAAAAGTAAATTTAATATAAAAACTAACTAAAACCTAGTATAGTATTTTCCCCAAATGGACTTACCTTTCAAAATAGCATTTGGATCACATAGATTTATTACTGAGATCACCGCGCGATGATAAGTCTTTTTAAAAGAGTGAGAACCAATTAAATGGGCTCCTAGCTTTCTTAGCGCCACCCACTTTCAGAACGCATGAACAGCGCACTCAAAGTAACTTTCAACATTCCTTGCTTCATACTCATACAGTATATTTCCTTGTTCTTTTGTTGTTTATGATCATGTGTATTGAAGTGATAGCACTGATAAAACAGAGTGCCGTAACTACAGGGTGCCTAAAAATCATCGTGTCCCCCAGGCGGCGCTCCACCCCCCACCACCCCCCCTCAGTTAAAACTATGGTAAGCTAAGGTACTCAAAACATCTGAAGTTCTGGATCCTCCAAATCACATCATTAACACTGGTACTAGGATGACTATTACTGTAATATCATAGAAATCTATGCATGTTTTTTTTTTTTAAATTTATTTATTTGGTATTCTTCAGATTCGTCTTTATCTATACTCGGGGTAACGGTTAAATTATCTGTTGACATATATTTTAGACCATTTTCACTGCCAGCAGGATGCTTTATATTATTTTTTATTAATAATGCTCAATTGTTTGTTACCGTAAAAGTCTAAGAATAGCATCATGTTCTTTGAAATCATTCCAATAAAATTTCCCACAATATTTTTATCTGTACGCATACAGCACTTGTGTCACGGTATACACTGGAACTTTACTCCGGGGACTCCACTATTTTCGTCAATTCGAAAGAGTACAAAACATTTTGACGCGCTTTTTTGATTTCACGAACTAACACAATTGAATTTAATTGTGTTAGTTCGTGATGTGAGCGACGAATTGTTTGTTACTGTAAAAGTCGCAAGATTAGCATCATGTTCTTTGAAATCATTCCAATAAAATTTCCCACAAAATTTTTGTTTGTACGCATTACAGCACTTGTGTCACGGTATACACTGGAACTTTACTCCGGGGACTCCACTATTTTCATCAATTCGAAAAGAGTACAAAAGGTTCACAGAAAAAAAGTAGGGCCATTATGTACCGGTATTGTGAAATTGATAAAAAAAAATTTAGGACGGCCATCAAAGGCTTAATAGGCCTACCTGCACAAACGTTTGTTTGTAAATTGATTTTTTTACTGTTTATTTTAGTGCCAATTGCTACGGCAAAAGCAATATTGGAAATTTTCACACACTCCCTGCTGTGTGCAGGCCATTCCGTTTCACAAAAGAGGAGGCTTGTTAATAATGTTTATTGATCATATTTTACAGGCTCTGTAAACTAAAGCATCAATAAATTGTACTTATATTTTTAACAGAAAAAAAGTAGGGCCATTATGTACCGGTATTGTGAAATTGATAAAAAAAAATTTAGGACGGCCATCAAAGGCTTAATAGGCCTACCTGCACAAACGTTTGTTTGTAAATTGATTTTTTTACTGTTTATTTTAGTGCCAATTGCTACGGCAAAAGCAATATTGGAAATTTTCACACACTCCCTGCTGTGTGCAGGCCATTCCGTTTCACAAAAGAGGAGGCTTGTTAATAATGTTTATTGATCATATTTTACAGGCTCTGTAAACTAAAGCATCAATAAATTGTACTTATATTTAAAAAAAAATGTATGGGCATACAATAGTTTACTTTAAAAAAAAATTATAGCCTGGACAGAGCTTACAGTTATTCGTGTGACACAGAATGCATTGGTAAGTTTTTCAATTACTTACTTCTGCATAATAATAGTGACATTGTACCGGTGTTATATTTATATTATTATTATTATTGGTGGTTTGATTTTGTAGAAAAAAATGTTTAGTTTCGTTTTCCAACCTAATAAATAACCCTGACAGTTGAGCACTAAGTTATCGACTTTCAGTGAAGAAGGAAATACAGATACTGTATTCCCAAAGATATTTTTGTAGTGTATTTACCTTGAACACGGGGAGTAATGGTACGTCACCTAGGCCTAATACTTCAGAAACAACATTTTAACAATTTGTTGCGTTTTATTTCGACATCTTGTTCGTATTCGAGCACAGTCATGTTATTATTATTTATCCATTTTGCTTTTATTGTGTTTACGGTGCTACACAGCAAACCTAATTGGAATCATTATGATAAAATGCATTCTTACATAGCGCATATCACCCTATAATGTATTTACCATGATTTCCCAGCTGCGCTACCTATAAGCGGGGAGGGAGATAATATTTTCAGAATAGATAAGTGAGTAGCACTTATTTGAATACCTAACATTGATATGCATTGAAATTTTAAATTTAGTGGAAATCTGGGAAGCACGTTCCGCACCTGCCCCCTAATGGATCCGCGCCTGGAGGGCATAGCTGGCCCATATACCCCTAATTTTGTTTAAATAAATTTCTTTTAAAATAAAATAATCACCACTTAAAATAATGCCACAATCATAAATTTTCTTACCCCAGCCCCAACCATGGTATAGACCCTCCATCTGTGGAGGTCTATGTATAATTCCTCTCTATGGGCATGTTGCTGGTGAATAACGCCAAAAACACGCGTTTTTTAAAAACAGTTAAAATTATTCCTTCAGAACGCGTTTCTAGTGAAAAGAGCAACAAATACAAACACGGTAACGCGAGCATCAGTAGGTGGGCGGAGCATAGGGACCTTTCGATTGTACGGCGGCGACAGTAGAACGTAATGATGTCAATAAAAGTCATTTGCGCATGCGAGAACGTTAAGTTCTCCTCGTCGCGTGAAAGGAGTCTAGAACCCCATTTCCCTGCATCACATATCATTTGTAACTTCTAACATGTTGCTTCATAGCGTGGACAGAGCAGTTTCCTTATAATATGGAGATTTTCCTGCTGGTTGATACAGGATTTCTTTCGAAAACGATACTTTTAATAGGCCAAGTAAAGAAATTAAATAGTTTCTCATCTCTGCTTTTTCTCCTATAATACAGGATTACCATTGCCTCAATTTTTTCGAAGCAAAAAAGGGAGCTCTATTGAAAAAAACAAGCTCTCGTAGTCGCGAAAGCTCCGATAAGGGCAGTAGGCCTATAATAGAGGCAGTAGAGTATATTAGCCCTAACGGCCGCTCATACAAAAACGATCTACAATCAGCCGAGTGTTTCTAGAGCTCCTCATCGGAGCTAAAGGTTTAGACTAGAATCTAATTTTTTACATCGCTTAATAGTAAATTAACTGATGATTTTCTTTATATTTAAAAATAGTGGACACTTTAGATTTGACATGATCAGTAAAACCTAACTTTGACAAAAACAAAACAAATGAGTTTTTGTGGGTTCTTATGTGCAATTTATTGTTACATCAAATGCTTCTCTTTCTGTAAGCAAATATTTACACATAATTATTGTATTGTCTTCATGAAAAAACAAATTAATGTATATAGGCAATAAATAATGGTGACCTGATGTTTGTGGTTTTGTTAAATCTCAGTTTGTACCAGTTGTAAATTCTTCCACTTTTATAAGGTATAATTAATCCTTATTTGAATGAGTATCATTAAATAAAAACCAAACTACAGATGCTGTGGTAGACTTGCCACCAACGAGCAAGTTAATTTAGAGACGGAATAAGAAAAACATCGAGTATGGGACGCCAATTAAACAAGGTGTGGCACGCACTAAGCGCAATCAAGAGTGAGTAACCCAAAATTAGGGACTGCTGTGAGTACTGTAGTTATGTGGGAAACCTATAATTCGTGAAAATTCTTTATATCTCCATTTGTTGGGGACCTGAAGAAGTAACATTTCATCTCCATTACATCTGTAGCCATACATTTAACAAATTGTTTTGTTCATATCGATCATTCTGCAATCACCAGAGCTGATCTATTTCTAAAATATACCAGTTAAAAATCAATGGTTAGAATGTATCACAAGCAAAATGCAATGATGCGATTTGAGTGAAATAATAGGTTTTAAAAAAAGTGGACCTTTTGATTTTTTGGGTGGGAGGTTGCATCTGTACGCTCTGCCCCTTTAACTCATCTTCAGGCTTGTTGTAACAACAAACACAACTACTTTATAGCATTTAATTAAAATCCACAAAATTAATACAGTACTGTAAATGGTACTTTTCTCTTGAGCCCACATTAACAAAATTAGTAGTAGTGACAAAAAGACAAATCCCATCATGCAACAAATGCCAAGTTGACCTCATCCTCAACTCTCTTCAGAGTACAATTTTTTGTCAAAAGCAGTGGTGTATCTAGGGGGTGTGCGGGGAGGTGCACACCCCACCTCCAAAAAAAATTACTTGTGTCCCCAAGTCAACCCAAAAATCACAGTCAAGTAGTTAAAAATCACCTAAAATCACATTATTTTGCGAATTAGCACCCTTCAACTAATCATCGAGGCCCCCCCACTTCACCTTCATTCCCCCATCAGCACCCCCATTTCAAGACTTCTAGATACACCACTGGTCAAAAGATATGCAAGGTCTGAGAGAAAAATAAGTAAAAATGCGTGCACTTAGAACCGAGTCTATAAAGAATATAATATTACAATGTAAAATTTAAATAATTGTGAAATTTCCATTTTATAAACGGTTGCAGGTGTGTCATTCTTGGTTGGTGCCATGTTCACTCACCAAACAAGATATAAAAAAAAGTGTTGCAGCTAAAAATATATAAAACTTTATGGGTGGAAAGAGATAACAGGGATAAAGGAAACTGTGCAGCTGATGCCCACCCTCCCCCACCCATCGATTCAATCCCCCTCCCTGTCACTGACAGTTACCCCCAACTTAAAAAAGCCTGCACCAAGAATAGCTTAGTTGCACCCTAATAAAATATTAATACTTATAAAACAAATCACACTTTCATAAATTTCTAAAATTAAATACTTTGGCATGCAAACTTATAAAACAATTCTCCAAGCTGACATGGTCAAAAATATTTCTTCAAAACGACAACACATACAGTGTACTCTTATTAGGTCTAGAAATTCTTTACTCATAATTTAAAGATGAGAATTTACTGTCTAACAGTAACCTGATATTTTGACACCATACGAATCTAGAAAGTATCTGTAAAGGCAATGCAGGCTATGGAGGATTCATAAATTTAACAGCAAGGCACATCTATATAATTATAAGGTCAATACATATTACACTGGAGACGATCGACCAGGCTCTGTGAGTGATATAGGACAGGTAAGAGCACTTAGTTTGTAAGTTGGTCCATGGATTAATAAGTTAAGATGATATCCATTTTTTTTTCACTACGAACACCCAGATATCCACCACTACATACATGAATTGGATCGGATAAAAAATTGATGAAGTTACAAGCACAAGCAAATTGGTGAGTTTGCAACACCTGGGATTAACTACTATCAAAAAGTGCAGGTGGCAATGGTAATTTGAATATTTACTAGCACCACAAATCTAAACACACATCCACAAAATACTGATATGACCCTTGAGCCCTCCATTCTGGTTGAAAGGGGTGCAAAGGTGATGGTCAACGAGAAGTCCTTCCAAATTGAGCATTATTTTCTCTGAATATGTAGATCAACCAACCCCTAGTCCTCTAATGGAATATTCCTGAAGAGATATGACATGGACTCGCCATTGTGTATTCGTCTGACAGATTCTGCTAGTATCTGGCTTACATCAACAATTCGTAGTTTAGAACACTGTAAGCGATGCAACTCCTGGCCTATTGTATTTGTAATCACAATCTGGAAGTAAAGGAGATAGAAATAGATAAATGAGTTGCTCTTCAATACAAATGTTACAATTTTGGCAGCTAGTATACTGCCCATGATAAAATCTGGAAAAAACAATTAAAAAAAACATTGGAATCCCCCTTGTTTAGCTTTTAGACCAAGTATATGGCAAGCGGTGAACGTTCAAAGTGGCAATCCCATCACAAGGCAAACATAAGCACAAGATGCTGTACATAAACTAAGTCTCATTATGAGGCTTAGGGAGTGGAGTTGTTTTGTTTGTGAGAAAAAAATCCTGTTACCATGACAGGAATTGATCCCAGGAGCCTAGGATTGGAATGCAAGCATAACCACCAAGCTATTTGATAAAAAAACAATTAAACAAACAATCCATCCACTTCCAAATGAACACTGATCAAAACAATTCAATTTTTTTCTTTCTTAATAAGGTAATAATTTACTTTTACAAAATAAGTATGGCAATTCAAATATAACGCCCCCTCTCCCTTTAAATGAACGCCCCCTTCAGAGCCTCATTTGGAATAAATGCCTCCCTTGAATAAACGATTAATGCTGTTACACTTCATGTTAGTAAATAAATGATTTAAATAGCTAGAAACAAAAACAAAAATTTATATAACCTTTATGTGCAATTGTTATTGTTTACGATTACATTACAATGATTTCCATACTGCAAAACCTCGAATTGAAGCCCTGGGCTGCTGTGCTTTTTTTTGTGAACTTTGGATGGGCTTCTTTTCAAGGCTACTTTTGCAAAGTAAAATGAGTGCTGTAAATTTTGGGAATTACTTCTATAAAAAAAAATAAATAGGGTCACTGGAACATCAATCTGTGTCATGGAGTGTATTAACCAGCATTAAATCACCTAAACTACTATATAAAAGCATGTTTAAAATTTTTTTTTATATCCTTGAAATTCATGTACAGCGTATGTACTGTACTATCTCAAAAAAAGCCTATGCTATCTTGAAAAGAAGCCCATGGGTTTTTTTTTCGAGATGGGCTTCTTTTTGAGGCTACTTCAGCAAATTGAAAGAGGGCTTCAATTCAAGATGGGCTTCATCTCAAGATTAAGCCCATAGGGCTTCTATTCAAGATTTCACAATACATATACTGAAGGTGACAAGAAAATTTATGTATGTGATGAATTCTTTAATAAAGGTCTTGTACGACAATCCCACAGCTTCCCAGCTACCCTTAAGGCCACCTGTTCATATCCCTCCGAAAGACTGTAAGAGTCTAGAAAGAATTAGGGATGGCGTCCCACATTCCCGGGAGGAAGTCAGAATCTCCCATCTGTAGTCTGTATTATCAAATGTCTCCCTGAATTCAGGAGTCGATGGGTATCACCATACGTAACAAAATAATATTAGATGTCTTTTAAAAACCTCCACAATAAACACAGGGGAACCAATGATGACTTTAATATTATGGTAATCTACATGCTTTTAGTAATGCGAGGACAAAAGTTTTGACATCTGGAGACGTATCTAGAGATACTCATATGGGTATAGCACAGACCTCAACCCCTTTTTTATGAGCATTGCTAATTACAACTTTCTAGACTCCCAAACATGAAGTTATATTTTGTTATTATTTAGTGTTTTACATTTTGTCTATCTATTTGATTATTTTATTTCCTTCACGTCCAAAGGCAAGTACACTTGCCACTTAGAGGATGGAGCGATGCTTTATAAACTAAGTCTCTTTATGAGGCTTAGGGAGTGGAGTTGTTTTTGGTTGCCAGAAAAATTCCTGCTGTGACAGGTATTGAACCCAGGACTCTGGGATTGGAAGGCAAGCATCTTAAACATTAAGCTATTCAACTCCATTGCAAGATCTTTTTCTTTATTTGGGTGAATTCTCTGAAGTAAATTAGTGAATTAAGAAGTTAGAATCTTAGTCAGACAAAGTGAATTGTCATAACCTGCAATACACAATCTTGTTCACAACAAACACATAATTGGTTAGATGTAAATTCCAATAAATTATGATTACGATACAATAACTGATATAAATGAACGAAACCATTTAATAATTTAATTATAATTATAACAAATAGAATTATGTTAATTATTATTCAAAATGCTGTCAAACTAGCTAATTCCAATTTAAAGGAACCTGGTTTACATGGATTAAGCAGGTTTTATTTGATTCGATTTATTATGATAGTACCATACATGAAACATACAATATAAAACAATTTGAGAAAGACAAGAACATTAAGAACTAGTGTTAAGAAGGGGATTTACATCCTGTGGAGTCCCTTAGAAGACATTTACTCTTCCCAAAGGCACTTAAAAACCATCCCAAGACCCTTGCTCGTCACTATAGACATTCGCTAAAACACACCACACCTCCTCCCCCAACACACCACAAGAAAAAAATGTTTTTTAATTAGTACTCGCATAAATTTAGATGAAACTAGTTAATTTATGACACACCATAAAATACCTAGTCATCCATTGAGATATTGCGAAAGAGGTATGACATCGATTCGTTGTGGTGAATTCGACGGACTGCTTCCGCCAGCGCTTGGGAGATATCAATTGTCTTGATTTTAGAGCACTGCAGTTTCTGCAGCTCATGATGTAACGTGTTAGTCACAATCACCTGAGGAATAATACAGAGGTTAGCATGCACTAATACCAATAATGCCCTCAACAATGCCCTCAAATCAAATACAGTGGCGGACCGCAGGGTAAAATTTAGGGTATGCTGGCGGCTGCTACTCCCAGGGGAAAAATTCAATTCTATTAGCCTACAATCAAAGACTGCATTATATAATGTCTAAATACAAATATATGTTAATACATTTTCTTTTTATTCCTATATATGGTTGTAATTTCTTTTCCTCAAAAGATTTTTTATTCCTCTACGTTTAACCATTATAGAAAATAGAACACAAGGACTAATAGTGATCTATGATCAAAGGTACAGATAATGCGATCGCAATTCTCTCATAGTTACGTAATAAAATATGTTCTATTTTCTCTATGGTTTAACAAATTAAAATTAAAATAAATCAAGTTTCATCTGTTCTGGTCATCTGCAAGCAAATTTATAATATTGAGATCTTAGAAACGAAATATATCGGGCGATGGTCTGAATACATCAGTGCCTTGACACGATTTTTATTGTGGAGGGCACTCTACATATATCCTACCATTAACCATTACAAGTTGTCGTGCAATCGAAATCTCCCTAATATTAAAACAGTACTTTAGAGAACCAGTGAGAAGAGGAGCATGCGCACATATTTAAATGGAAGCAGTGCTTTCAAACTAGTGTTAAATTTGCTATTCTAACGCCACCATGTGGTTGGAAGAATAGCAAAGTTTAGCATTATAAGGTATACTACCACTACTGTTGACTCGAACAGGCATTGGCTGGTATTGAAAACACCAACCATGCAGAAACTCTAAGCAGCTAAGTGATAAGCCCTATTCTGAATACCCACTGTCTCAAATACTAATGTAGGAATAAAGACTGAAAAAATATTAATACTAACTCAGCAATTCCAATGAAATTATAGCAATCAAGTCAGAAAATTAAGGCCAAAATCTTCTATAACAACCTAAATTTTTTAAAGAAATGCTAAATAAATCGGAGAAAAGGCACAATAAAATGTTTATTTGGAGTTTTAGCATGGGTATGCAGAGCATCCCTTGACGGTCCGCCACTGATCAAATATATAAACCTAGCAAAATAAAATAAAAAATTAATTAAATATTTAACAAAAAAATGAACACACACCAAAAACAATAACCAAGCATTTCATTAATCTCCTTGAAAATCTGAGAAGCGTGATTATTATTCTTGTTAAGTGACAATCTCTAATTGTCACATACCTAAATTTCAGTCCAGACTATCAAATTTTGTCACAAAAACCTGTGAAATGCCTAAATATGGTCATGATGACATCACATCATGCCCATATATAGGCACATCATGACTATATATGGGCATACAACAGTGCAGACAGAGCTTCAAAAATCATCCAAAATTGAATAACAAGCAAAAAATTTAAATTTTCATAACAACATTACCTCATCGATGCAAGATTCTTCAATTTGTTTTGGTGCGTCTGCTGACAGCAACCCGTGGGTCGCCATCGCGTAAATTTTGTAAGCACCTCGTTCTTTTAGGATCTCCGCTGCTGCTACAAATGATTCAGCTTGATCTATCATATCATCCTGCAAATAGAACGATTGATTTCAGGATTATGAGTGATATGATTTTGATTATGATAATGAGAATAAAGACATGGGACCTGTGATATATAATTTGTCTACGTATTAAGTTAGCACCTGGGAGCATCTGCATTCCATCCACTGTTCTCACAGTTGGCGGAGAGTGTCTACCATCAATGTGCTCCGATTCTGTTTCTTTATGTTCCCCATGGATAACTGCTAGGCCTAAGCGTAACCGGTCTGCAAAGGAGGTGGCTCGCTTTGCAGCAGCTGGATTTCTTGCAACTATCACTGCGTTCCGCCAGTCTGGAATCTGTTGGGAATAATAACACTTTGGTTATGATTTCTACAAAGGAAGCATGTCCACAGCTATTCCCTGGTATGTTTTAGATCTCAATTGGGTAAAGTGTGGCCCACAGGTCAAATGCAGCCCAAGACCGATAATAAACAATAATATTAGAACTGAGCATACAGTGGCATAAAAGCAGTCCAAACAGTTTTTGGAAGCACAATGGAAACATCTAAGTGCATGTGTAGTCATCAGACTTAAGTCAAAAATTCACTTTGCACACTGACACATTTATATGCCCACCCCTGTTTATTACCATTAATGTTGTCAACATTATTATCATTTGCATAATTATTATTCATTTCTATCACCATCAATTAATCTAATTACTTACATTTTCTTGTATATATTGTACAATGAAGGGTGATGCTCTCAAATTGTCCACAGGAATATCAAAGAAGCCCTGCACTTCCTTATGGTGTAAATCCATTGTAATTATGTGGTTCATACCTATTGAAATCAACCAATCAACAGTCAGAATTAATGAAATTCTAAAGAAAACCAACCGATCAACAAACAGCAATCAAATTCTGATTAAATTAATTTATTCATTAATTATGTGAAATTCACTTAAGTATCACATACATACATGCTGCGAATATGTATAAATTAAGATCGTAGTGCTAAAGAAAAAAAAAATAACAGTACACAGCCCAAGGAAGCATGAGGCATTACTTGTACAGGCAACGTAATGCTGCTACACTGTTCTTACTCAGTGGAAGATCCAGGAATATGAAATAGCGAAAGCCCAGGGAGGGACTTTCACAGAATGTGAATCTAAGCCAACTCAGTCCCACCATTGTTAAGGGTTCAGGCAAGAAAATTTATGAGACCTGTAGATGGCCAGTGCTCTCTGACTTAAATTGAAATAAATGCAATTTTCTTTTTCACACTTTCTTTTAAATTATAGTTTCCTGGGTACGATGTTATAAACTGTATCCAGTTGAGTCGTCGGTGACTAATTCCGGCAACCCCATCTGGTGGTCTTTAGCGGCCGCCGATGGGAGGGTGGATGGACACCCAGCAGCATGAAAAAAAACAGCTGAACAATGGGCGGATGAACTCCTCGGAGCCAACGGCCAACCATGTTTTAGTTTAAGGAGTAGGTTTTTTAGTTTCATAAAATAACAAACTTTTTTTCAAAATGTCAAACTCAAAGAGCTCAATCACCAAGCGCATAGAGGCTTTTTCGCATGATGCGCTATACAAATCCAACTATTATTATTATTTTTAATAATTTTGAAAAATTTAGGGGGGGGGGGGGAGGCAGTCAGCTCCCCCATGAATTTGCCAAAACCGCATGTTTTTTAATATCATTAGAAAAATTGCATCAAATTATATTCATATTATTTCAATTCCTAAAAAAACAATTTAAGAAATACTAATATAGACCCAACGTAAATCTACTCTCTCTGTAAGGACCCCAGTGGAAATAAGTGGTTTTTACAGGAAAACAGTGTTTCTCGTATGCACATAATAATGATAATAATGACTGTGGAGGTGTCACTTTGTGGTTAAGACGTTTGCCTCCCAATTCTACAGTAGGAGGGTCTAGGGTTCCACCTTTGTCACAGGCCAGGAATTTTTGCCGCAACTAAAAACAACTCCACTTCCTAAGCCCCTAAGCCACATAATGAGACTCAAGCATCACTTCCATCCTGTGGGTGGTGAGTCACTTGTTGAATGGTAATAAAACCTAGATTTTTTTCATAAAAACAACTTAAATCTCTAAGCTCCAACAAACATTTCAATGCAATCTTGCAAGTCACTTTACTGGGCTTGTACAATAATGATAAACTATGGCTAGGCCCCGATATTAAAATGAAATTATAGAGAAACCAGAGGGACATAGATGCACAAACTTTACTACCTCAGCCCCACGATGGGTGGGACTAGCACCTCTACATGGCTCCACTCTCAGAATGTAATTTTTTCACTTTTTTTTTTTTGCGACCCTCAGTTTGGGAAACGTCACTGTAGTAGTAAAGGATGAGTCACACCCTGTTTGATATTTTGTTTTGCAAATCATTTAATTAATAAGAAAAGCCTTTTTTTATAATTTATTTAGCGAACCCACCACCCACCAATAAAGATTTCAATTAAAAATAAAATTTTACTTCTGGGCAACTAGCACCATGAAAAATTTGAAATTTCATACAGAAATGAAAGTTTTTATCTATTTTTATTACATCTTCCACTGCCTTGAAATCTCAAAAAATAATGTGTATTTCTTCCTTATTTTATAAATTAAAAAAAATTTAACCATCCCATTGCTACACTGTTTACATTCAACAATAACATTTCTATTTTATTCTTTCCTCTGTCTGGTTGTTCTTGGCAAAGCCATTTGCTAAATAAGAAAACATATTTTATTTTTATTTTTTTTCGGCCCTCCTCTAACGATCTTAAAATATGTTCGAGAAGAAACAAGTTAAAAAAAGTCTTCTAAATTGAGGCATGTTGTGGCAAAATGGTTAAGTTGTAGTAAAAATTGAAATTCAAGTTATTGGTATTTTCAGATATTTGAGTATGTGATCTTTAAAATGAGGGGTCATTCATTGAAATTGGACATTTCAAGCCTAAGTTATTGCAAAATGAAAGCACTCTTAGAGTCAAGATAAAAATGATTTTGAGTATTATTGCCTTTCAAAGCTATTTGTGCATACATTGTTTAATAGAATTAACTATCAAAATAACTTAAATAAACAATTTGTTGACCACTTCCAGAACTAATACTTTGGAACGTGATTAATAAGACACTAAACTGTTGATTTGTAGTGAAAAAAAAATCTGGATTTTTAGGCACTTTTTTGAGCTCCCATATTTTAAAGCTCATTTACTCAATACTCACCTGCTTTGGACAACATTGTTGCTAGTAACTTAGCAACAATTGAGCCCCTCTTTCTCATTTGACTCTGTTTGCTGTAGGGGAGGTACGGAATCACGCCGACGATGGATTTCGCACACGACGTTTTGCATGCGTATGTCATGATAAGCAGTTCCATAATGGCATTATTGACATCACTATAATAAAAATAAATAAATAATCATTATATAGAATAATACATATATAATAATAAATATATATAATACATCTGTAGTAAAACTGACAAAAAATAATTAATGTATTTTTTCTTATATATGTAATCTATTGCTTCAATGATCTCTTTGTCAAATAAAAACCCTGGACTTTTTTAACCCTTGGATGGGCTTCTCTTTGAGATGGGCTCCTTTTCGAGATTATTTTGCCAACTAAAGAGTAGGACTTCTTTTTGAGTTGGGCTTCTTCTCAAGATTAAGATCATTGGGATTCTATTCAAGGTTTTATGGTAAAAAATAACTGAAATTTTCTTATGGTCATCCTGTTTTTGTCAATCTCCATCATTCGTTAAATGTGTATTTTTTTTAAGGGGAAGCAATTGTTGTTTATCTGTAATTCTTAAGCTTTGTTCTGACTATGAAAATGTTATTAACAATGAACATGTGACATGCCCTATTATGGTAATGATGCCACCACATCATCACCATATTATAGGCACATCATCACTATAAATCTGGATAGAGTTTTAGCCATTAAAAAATGCAAAATATGAAATATTTTCAGTTATTTATATATTATTAGCTATTTACTGTACACATAATACTCTGCAATAATATATTACTTTCATGATAATTGTTTTACCTTTCCGGTATAATAAAAATTGCAACAAACTCCATGTTTACAACACAACAAATGATGATGATGGTGATGATGATGACAGTAATAATGATGATGACAGTAAAAAATGACAACGATAGCAGTCAATATGATCGTGATAATAAAGACAAGCATAACAGAATAATTTTTGATAACAATCATATTATATTTATTTGGTATAAATACAAATAGTTTAGAATGCAACAAATGATAAAGCAGTAACAGTGATAATGATGACAATAATGATTATAATAAAAAGATAATGGTAACACTTTATTTGACAATGTTTAACATGTATTCTATGGATACTTACTCTGAACCAGTCTGAATAAGAAACACATCTTTGCCTCTTACAGACTCATCTATATTTACAGTTGTTTCTAAAAATATAAATAAGAATACACATAAGAATATAAATAAGAATAAACATAAGAATATATATAAGAATTATAGTTGATGGTATAATATTTTCCATACCATCTTTTTTATTTGGACATAATTCTGGTAAGAATGATCTTATTAATATATATCTTTTCAATTATATTATTTTGAAACAATAATAACCAATGTTTTATAATTGATTATTTTGGACAAAAATGTAATTACAAAAAAAAACCAATTTAAAAAGAATGCAATGTAAAAACAGACTACCTTTGTTTTCTTGTAAATAAACTTCAGCCTTTCCGAGTTCAGTACAAAGTCGACTGTAAGGAAAAAACACTATAAAATAATACTTGGTATATTATTTAAGAAAAGTAGAAAAGTTTTGGCATTTAGGTTTATTCAAATTGCAGTATTTGGGCATTGATGTTTTTACAATTACTGTTTTGTTTTGGGCCAAGAGATAGGCCTACCTAGGCCATTTTGTCCTGATTCCAATATGTTTCTCTTTCTTTTTTATCTGTTTGAGTACTGACTGGACATGTTTAAAATTGTGTTGGTAGGCCTATTTAATTAAGCATATAATTTTTGTAAATAAATAATATTAATAATGTTACAAAAATTATTGCAAAAAAATATTTTGGTTTGGTCTGAACGTGCTGCCAATGGGACGACCTCAAAGACAGAGGTGGGAGTCTATGCTAGATAAAGTTTAGTTAGTTCTCTTCTACAGATAGTCCCCAGCACCCAATAGCCTAGCATACTCTAGCCTAGAGTCTAGTGTAGGTAGCCTAGGCTAAGCTAAGCCTCCTCCTTCCTAGCACAAGCAACAAAGTCAGCAGAGTGAGTGTTTATCATTCTTACGTAGTTATCAAACGAGCTAATTCTGGATGAGAATTGCCTGTAAATATAACCATTCCTCCTCTTGACATAGTTGATTTAGAAAGTGAGGCCTGTCGCCTGCAACTTGTACTTAACGACAAAATTGTGCGTGTTTTACAGTCACCATTCGAAGAAAACCTCTTTCTTTACCGCAGCCGCTAACCAAGATCCAAAACGCGAGCAAGCTGCTGAAATCTACTGTGCAAACAATAATCAAATGTTTTTCCGAGGTCAGTTATAATTGATAACATTATTTTTGTTATTGAGTTTGGTAATTAAAAATATAACCTACTTAATTGTTACAATGAACTCAATTTATAATATTATTTATAAAAATAATAATCTAGTTTATATTACGATTGAATTTAAAAGTGAAAATATATAATTATTTATTATTAAAGTAATCTTTAACACAAATTAAAGACTGTAAAGTTCAAGCTGCAATCAACATAAACCAAAGCACGTGTCGCATATGATGTGGATGATGTCGAATTCAAAACAAATACGCGAATGCTAGGCTAGGTTGGGTTATCAGGGCCTAATTATTCTTGAAACATTTACCTATTCTTTGAACGAAATGCACATAAGAAATTTATCAGCCTAATACTTCGCATCAGTGTTTTATATGGATTTCGTTCGGCTGTCAAGCTGTTGCCAGCTAGCCTCAGCCTCAGGCACTAGGTAGAAACTATGCGCCTAGCCTGCTGCAGTGCTACTACTGAGTACTAGTACTAGGCTACCGTCACTACTACTACCGAGGCCTAGGCCTAGTACCACTAGTAGTAGAGTACTAGTAACTTGTTCTTGCTTATTTTCGCAAGACAGACCACTTCAAAGTGTGTTTATCTTTTGGTTGAGTTCCTGGGTTTATATGCCTAGGTAGGCTACCACCACTACAACAAGGTGGAAATGATTTTGCAAAGAATTTGTCTTGTTTATTAATGTGGTTCACACTTTCTTCCAAACAGCTAGAACAACAAGGGATCAAAAGTGAACTAGCTAGAAACCGAATTCATAATAGTACCGTAATTTACAATATAAAAGACATACTAAACAAAGCCTGCAATTCGTTTTACTTTAATTTATGATTGTTGGATTTTTTGATGTTTCTACGTATTTTTCTGCTGAACTGTTTGATTCAGAATTGTAAAATTGAAAGGAAAATGTCTTCAAATACTTCAAGATATTTTACAAGAAATGATTCCTGTATGAAAAGGTCATCTGAACGTTTAAAAAAGAACATATCTACTTCTTCTAGTGTACATGTAAAAAGAGATCCTGACTCAACTGTTCAACCGCGAGGTAGTCTGTCAACCAAACTTGCCAGAAAGAGAACCATAAAGGTTGAGTATGATGAGGTAGTTGATACACAAAGTGAAGTACTTGCAAGAAATGACCCCAAAATGAAAGTGACAAAAGATGTTGGCCAACAGCATGCAGATGGCTTGGACAGAGATGATGGAATCTGGCAACCACCACTTTGGAGAGATCAGCTGGCAGGGATCAAAGAGATGAGGAAAATGAGAGATGCACCTGTTGACACAATGGGAGCTTCAAAGATAGGCGATTCATCTGCAGAACCAGCCGTTAGTTTTTACCCCTCACAAAAGCACCTATCCCTACACCATGTTGTCCTAGCACTGTAACTACAGTATTACAAGTTAGGATCAGGATTGGTTGATCAGGAAATAATTACTTTTTTGCTGCCCATCACTGTAACTTTTTTTTATTGATAAAATAGTAACTATTTCGCTAAAATCAATGATGAAAAAAATTGATTTATTTTTTTGTAATGTATTATAAGTAAGGCCATAAAACAGTGAAAAATGTTCGACTAAATCATGCACAGTCGAATTGGGAGAGGTTGACTAGGCAAAATAAAAATGAAGCTTGTATGTTCAGTTACAATTAATCTTTCTGTGCATAAGCATAAATTTCCCAATCCGCTTCTGGTTGAGGGTCTAAGTCCTGAGTGCATAATACACCTTCTACCTTTCGTAACTTTGCCACAAACATTTCATTACCTAGACAATACAAAATCTGAAATGACCAGGTTAGGAAGTGTGCTTGGCAGCATTTCAAAAAAGTCTGCAAAAACTCTGCCACAAATATGTCAAAAACCAATCTCAATTTTTTTGCCAGGTGTACCGATACCATGTGTTATTGTCACTCTTGTTATCAAGTCAGACCAAAGATCAGGTAACGAAGGCAGCCATGGTGAGTCTTCGTGAGCATGGGCTGACTGTTGAAAACATCTTGGCAACCTCAGAGCAGGATATTGGACTTCTTATATATCCTGTTGGCTTCTGGAAAGTAGGACTTTTTAAAAATGTATTTTTGCTCACTTCATATGTCTGTATTTACAGTTGTAAGTTTTTTTAACAAGAGGATGGGGGAGGGTGATTGCCTAATATTGTTCGATGAGGGTTACAAGTTCAACAACCATTGAAGTAACAAAAAAAAAAACATAATAAAATACAGAGACAGATGCAGAGAAGAAAACAATTATCAGACAACTTTAATGGCTGAGGGATTGGTTAAAATTTGAAACAAGATTTTTTTTTTTTGCTTGTGGAGTTTGGAGTCTCCTGCAACTTGCAAGACTGCATGCGTGGTCAGTTGAATTGTTGAATCATTGATACATTCTGTGAAAGGTTTAATGATATGCCCAGAAAAAAAAAAAAACTTTCAGGGCTATGTAAAATTATTTTTAATAAATTATTTTAATTAACAAATATAAACACTTGATTAATTTCAGAGAAAAGCTGAGTACATAAAGAAGACAACTCAAATCCTAAAAGATAAGTACAACTCGGACATTCCACCAACATTAAAGGAACTCATAAGTCTTCCTGGTATTGGACCCAAAATGGCTCACATCATCATGGATGTTGCTTGGAATAAGCTAACAGGTATTGGCGTTGATACCCATGTTCATCGTATTACAAACAGATTGAATTGGGTTAAAAAACCGACAAAGACTCCGGAAGGGACGCGAATTGGCCTAGAAGAATGGTTGCCAAGGTGAGAACTTAGAATTATAAAAAAGGCCGTTGATCGTCCTTTTTAAAGAAAAATGTTGGTAGGTTGTTTTTTTTTGAATGAGTAATGAAACCACCCCATTCAAATTCTCCGTGGAATGTAAGCCCTCATGTAAATGGTGGCCAACTTCAACGATTTTCCAATGTAGTGTTTGATTAAGTGGAATTTATACGAACAAAACAAAATGATATTTCGTAAGTTTTTGTAATAATACAAAAAAAAAGTTGGTCGGGTGATTTTTCTTATGTACTTTAGGGAGGGGACGATCAACAATTTATTTTTTTTTTCATGGCCTAATGTATTTAACTTCTGAATAGATACACTGTCTGCTAAAAAATTAATATTGAAAAAGACAATAACAAAAATTTAGTTTATTAAGTGATTAACTTCCAACCAGAAACAATTGAAAAAAGGTAGTTTTAACTGTTTTATATTACAGAGGTTTTTCTACAAAATTCCTCAAATTGATTACAAGCCAATTTAAGGGTCTGCCAAAAAATAATGGCAAACGTATTATTTAACTCTCTTTTAATTGACAGACATTTTTTTTTACATTCATATTTTTAATTAAAAGTATAAAAATTAATCAATTTAAATATTGAATTAATTTTTCAATCTTTTATTCAGCTCATGACAGACAGTGTCATTTTTAAAATGTATCGATATAGACATTGAATAACTTTTCAAATAATGTCAAAAGAGGATTTAAAATTACAGGTCGTCTCTAATTAAAGACCCCTCCAATTTAAGACCACCTCCAATTAAACATCACTTTTTTGTGTCCTAGCAGTGGCGGATCCAGGGGGGTTCAGGGGGTTCGGACAAACCCCCCTCTGTGAAGAAACGTAACAAAATACTACTGGGTCCTGGCTTACAATATTCATGCTAACTAGACGCGGATTCAGACCTTCGCCCACTTCGCCCAGGCGAGGTCAGGGTGACACATTTGTGTTTATGGTATTTTAAGTTCTGTCTCTAGGTTCGATCAGGTGCATTTTTACCAATTTTACCTAGGGCCCGGCAGTTATGCCGTATCGACGCACGGCAGCTAACGGTTAGCAGGATCCAGATCCTGCTAACCGTTAGCTGCCGTGTGAGAACATAGCCTATATCTCTTAAGCTCTGTCCACATTATCAAATTTGACAAAAAAAAACTGTTGTATGCCCAAATATAGTCATCATATGCCTATATATGGTCATGATGTGATGTCATCATGACCATATTTAGGCATGTCACATGTTTTTGTCAAATATTTTAAATTTGATAGTCTGGACAGGGCTTCGGTATTCAAACTTCCTATTTTTTGGTAGCCAGAAAAATGTTTGCTGCCCTCTATCATTGAACACAGTTATGAAAACTTCTAGTTATACTGTAAAACCGCAATTGCACTGGACTTAAAATGGGGAAAATTTTACCGAGACCATGGGTGCTGGGTAATATTCCAATGAGTAAATTTTATCACTGTCAGCACTTGTGTTTTTCAGTCGGTCAGTTTTACTGCAAAAAGTGGTAAGAAAAAAAAGCCATGAAAATGAACTATTGAGGCTATTCATCTGTGATATCTCCATTAAGTAATGCTTGATTTGAAGTTTATTTGAAACATGTGTTTGCATTCGGCTTTTCGGCTCTGTAAAACTAACATGTTCAGTTTTACTGGGCACAACCCACTTGGTTAAACTAACAGCTTGTCTTAGAAAGTTTTCCTGAGAGTTAATTTTCCTGGGCTGTTTGCATTGGTTTAGGTAGGGTAAAAGTAACCAACTTTCGTAAAACAAGCTTAATTAGGACATGAAGTAAGTTACTTCAAATTCAATATTAATTATGAACAATTGAGGAATTCATTGAATCAATGGACCCTCATAAACATAACAAACTGAATGTTTAATAGGAATTTATATATTTTAAAGACTCAAGGAACAAACTTAGATGTAGGTCTACGCCCAGGCCTCCTCCTACTACTACTACTAGGCATAACCTAGTTATGAAATCGCACGATTTTACATGTCTGCACGCACCGACCGAAAAGGATGTCAGTGACTGTATTCCCTCTCGAATGCTAAAATGTTTATTTCTTTGACGAAAGTTTATCAAAATAGTATTACAAACAAGTTTTTTCTAACATAATAGTAATTTATCGATAAAAAAAATTTAAAAAATAAAAAAAAAATCAGCATACGCACAGCTAAGTGTAAATACGCACACGTATACTGATCATATCACTATAGCAACCGA